TTGGGCTCTATCATATCTACATTTGAAACTGTGTATGGCGTCAGCTTCCACCACATCACTGCCTAATGCATTCCACTTGTTAACTACTCTGACACTGAAAAAGTTCCTTCTAATGTCTCAGTGGCTCATTTGGGTACTACGTTTCCACCTGTGTCCCCTTGTTCGTGTTCCACCAATGCTAATGGTGTCTCTTTGTCCACCCTGTCAATTCCCCTGAGAATTTTGTAGGTGGTTATCATGTCTCCCCTTACTCTTCTGTCTTCCAGGGACGTTAGGTTTAGCCACCTTTGCCTTTCCTCGTAGCTCATACCTCTCAGTTCTTAGACTAGTCTGGTGGCATACCGCTGAATAGTTTCTTGCTTTGTCTTGAGTTTAACTAGGCACGAATTCCAGGCTGGAGCTGCATACTCCAGAACTGGTCTGATGTAAGTGGTATACAAGGTCCTGAACGAGTCCTCACACAGTCGTGTGTGAGGTGTGTGGTTCGGTCATCACATCTTCACCCACGTTATAGTGACTCATCGTCTGAAAGACTATTCAATGCTTAGTATGATTGACAAGAGGGTTGAGAGCTGCGAGGAGCTTTGTTTGGTGCAGGGTTCGAGTCCTGTCAACCTCTGGAGAGTTATTGAGGCCACCACAGTATTCTGCTGACTACCAGCAAGTATTATTTAGTATTGAATGTGGCCCAGGACTGAGGGACTCAGAGTGTATGCTCTCTGAGAAGTGTGTGGGAGGGGGGGAGACCTCTGTGTGTTTGTCCCTTGAGTGAGTGGCTTATCTCCTGATACGTGGGTATATACCCACACTTCAGTATACCCACACTTCAGTATACCCACACTTCACTATACCCACACTTCACTATACCCACACTTCACTATACCCTCACTTCACTATACCCACACTTCACTATACCCACACTTCAGTATACCCACACTTCACTATACCCACACTTCACTATACCCACACTTCAAGATACCCACACTTCACTATACCCACACTTCACTATACCCACACTTCACTATACCCACACTTCACTGTACCAACACTTTACTATACCCACACTTCACTATACCCACACTTCAAGATACCCACACTTCAAGATACCCACACTTCACTATACCCACACTTCACTATACCCACACTTCACTATACCCACACTTCACTATACCCACACTTCACTATACCCACACTTCACTATACCCACACTTCACCATACCCACACTACACATCATTCAGAACTTTGTATACCACATATGTCAGGCCAATCCTGGAGTATGCAGCCCCAGCATGGAGTCCATCTCTATTCAAGGATAAGACTAAACTGGAAAAGGTTCAAAGGTTTGTCACCAGACTAGTACCCGAGCTGAGGTATGAGCTACGAGGAGAGTCTACGGGAATTAAACCTCACTTCGCAGGAAGACAGAAGAGTTAGGGCGGGACATGATCACCACATTCAAGATTCTGAAGGGAATTGATAGGGTAGATAAAGACAGTCTATTTAACACAAGGGGCACACGCACTAGGGGACACAGGTGGAAACTGAGTGCCCAAATGAGCCACAGATATATTAGAAAGAACTTTTTTATTGTCAGAGTGGTTGACAAATGGAATGCATTAGGCAGTGATGTGGTGGAGGCTGACTCCATACACAGTTTCAAGTGTAGATATGATAGAGCCCAATAGGCTCAGGAATCTGTACACCTGTTGATTGATGGTTGAGAGGCGGGACCAAAGAGCCAGAGCTCAACCCCCGCAAACACAACTAGGTGAGTACAACTCACTATACCCACACTTCACAACACCCACACTTCACTATACCCACACTTCACTATACCCACACTTCACAACACCCACACTTCACAACACCCACACCTCACAACACCCACACTTCACTATACCCACACTTCACAACACCCACTCTTCACTATACCCACACTTCACAACACCCACACTTCACAACACCCACACTTCACAACACCCACACTTCACAACACCCACACTTCACTATACCCACACTTCACAACACCCACACTTCACTATACCCACACTTCACTATACCCACACTTCACAACACCCACACTTCACAACACCCACTCTTCACTATACCCACACTTCACTATAGACACACTTCACTATACCCACACTTCACTATACCCACACTTCACAACACCCACACTTCACAACACCCACTCTTCACTATACCCACACTTCACAACACCCACTCTTCACTATACCCACACTTCACAACACCCACACTTCACAACACCCACTCTTCACTATAC